TTAATAACTTGATTGGAATTATAACCTTGAATTGACAGTTTGATACTTTGAAAATTTTGAGCCAGCCCTACCCCCAAGGGCTGTAGGGTGGGGCTCAAAGGAGACAGTGTGCTAAAATTTCTTCATTTTCCTTGTTAAGAATCAGAGGTGCTAGTTTCAAATCCTTTTTAGTCTGATTCTGTATGCTAGATATTGAATAAGGTGGTTTTATTGTTTTTTGTCACTTTGAATAATATTTCTGTTCATGTTAAAAACAAAATCAACTCTCTGTATAAATATATCAGGTGACCGTTAAGGCCCATGGGCCTCTTGTCTATATAAATGATCTTTTCAAAGCATAGGAGTTGTCTTTTGTGTTTCAGCCACAGATTTTGACCTTAGAAAACATGAAGATAACTCAAAGGTAAGTTAATTACCATTACGACTTTGGTATGTAGTCAAGGGTCTGAAAGGCAAAATTAACTTCTGGAATTTGTGTTTATATATAGTAGGGGGAATGGGATATGCCTGGACTACAAAATGGGGTCTTACAATAAATGCACATAATTTAAATGTAGTTTGTTTCTATGCTGCCCTTGACAAAATTGTAGAATTTGAGATGAGGTCTGCTACTACTGTTGACAAATTTAGAAGCCATTATAATTTACCTATCATTGTACATCACTGTACATCACTTATCAATTATGGATTTCTGTTGAGGTAGATATTTGGGGATATGGACCAGTAAAGGATATATTAACCGAGATGAAGTTGTGGTCACTATAACTTTTCAGGTTCATATAACCACAAGTTCATTGAAATAAAAGTCCTTAACTGTAAGATAGGAATTTTTGGAAAAAACTGAAGTGATGTCATAAAGATAATATTGAACTGCTGTTTCTAAAAATAGTAATATCACAAATCACCGACCTCCACGTGGTTATGATCCAGCCAATGAGGTTGTAGGAATACGTTATGTCATCTAATATTATATTACAGTCATGGACTTTTGTGTTGTAAGTATTATGCAATATGAACCAGAACAAGTGATGTTGACTGAAGTGAAGCCTCGTCAATATCACTTTTTCAGGTACATATCATATTTACCATCACAGAAGTCCATAACTATTGAATGCTTGAATAAAACAAGGAAAAAGATAGGTTCTTATTGAATGGTTTGGATGATAAGTTTTCTACCAGGTTCCTAATTGTACATTGACCGATACAATGTTTTAGTATTAAAACAAAACTAAACTTATAACAAATGTTTCAAGTATTTATTTATCAAATATACAGTTTATTTTGCAAAGGAGTGAGGAATACCCCTAAATTCCATATTCACCGGAAAACACTGCCTTGGTACTTCAAATATTATAAAGGACACTATGTATATTAATGTTGTTATTTTCATGACTCTAGTTAAGTCAGCAATATAAATAAATACTTGGCTTGAGTATGGTGAGATTAAACTGACTCTCTCTAGTTGATGTAAATATATACAGCTTTACTGTGGGTGTATTTTAAGCTGTTCTGATTTTAGGTAGCAGTATACAGTAGAAATGGCCCGACTCTGATAAACAAGGCACATGTCGAGGAAATGTATAAACACAGCGGATTTACCCTACACAACACATGTATACATGTATATATATTTGTAAACTGCATTACATTTACAATACATATAAAGTACTGAGAAGTGTATAAACCTCTTTTTTCTATGTATGTCACTTGTGTGAAAACCATGGTTACCACATCAAAAATTACCAAAAATTGCTATTTTTAACCCAAAATTTGACCCCCGCAAGTAGTTTTTTTTTTCCTAAGCTCTGTCTGAAATTAAAGATAACCTACCTGGTTGCAGAATTATCTGGGTCCCAGTAAAGTTGTAAATCTTGATTTTTTGCAATTTTGCGTCGTGTGCTGTTGTCAAAATTTTACCTCCTGTAAAGCTAGCTTTTCATGTGTACGCACCCTTTCGGATTATGGCCAAAATTTTATGCTCGAACCAAAAAAATCTTCTTTCTTTTTTACAAATGTGAAGCTCACATAGCCCACACCATCATGCTTATACCAATTTTAGTACAGTTTTTTTTTTTTTTTTTTTTTTACATATCATTATACAGGGGTTAGCCATTTAACAAAAATATCACCCATGGCCACAACCCTCTACTTTATACTGCTACCTTATTGGTGTTACATATTGATCTGTTGTAGTACCCAAAGCTTCTGAAAAGTGATGAAAATGGAAAATTTTGGTTCAAACCAGATACGAAGTTCAAAGTTCCTAAAGGTAGGTAATGAATGTTAGATATTTCTTGATTCTTACTTACAGTTGTATTACCAGACTATTATAAGTCAAATGTGTGAGAGTTAATTTCTTGTTGCTATGGTTCAGATTCTTTATTCCTTTACCTGGTATTCACATGTGTTTGATTTCCTCTCCTTGTATATATATGAAGTGGTTAAAATAGTTTCATGCTAGTTTTAGTTCTGAACAAAGCTTAAGAATTGATTTGAGGGTTGCTTTCTGTTGTATACTTACAGGATATAACTACATCCACCTGATGTCACCTGTTGTCTACAGGTCGTTAGACAGGTAAGTCTTCCATTACTGATGTACAGCTGGTTTACAGGTCGTTAGACAGGTAAGTCTTCTATAAGTTATGTACCTGGAGAAGTCTACTGTAAACTACTGATGTACAGATGGTTTACAGGTCGTTAGACAGGTAAGTCTAATCATCCATAGATTTTTCGCCTGGAAATGCCTAACTTCATTCAGTCAGATTTTCTACAGGTTGTTACCAATTTACCGTACCTACTTACTGTTAATCAGGATATTTTTGCATGCTTGGTAGGTAAATTATCAGGGATTTCTACAAAATAAATATGGTCCTATTTATATGTCCAAATATTACGAGCACAAAATTCATGCTTAAGCATGAGAATGGTCTCATGAATACAGGCCCTGGCACAGTTTAATGCCTACTTTTAAACATACTCACTTTTTTGCTCTCACCTGTTGGTTTATACCTAATTGTATAATTTTCTATAACAGTGCCATCCTGTTGGATTTCTTTGTGAACCTGTTGGAGCACCAGTTGACCCTGGTCGCCTACCCTGCATACCTCGCTGGGTTTGAGTAAGTTATCTCTAGACCAAGTAGACTTAACTTTGTTCTTGGAGTATAAATCTAACTCTCTATAATATAATGTTTAAAAATATATTGATTTGAATTATGTTCAGCATCTACAGTCATTTCAGCATAATTTGTGGTGCGGCGTTCATCGTCTGTCCGTCAACTTTTCCATTAAAACTACTTCTCAACAACCAAAAGGCCCAGGGTACTGATATTGGGCCTGTAGCATGCTAGGATGAAGGGCTACCAAGTTTGTTAAAATTAATGACCTTCACCCATTTTCAAGGTCACAGGAGTCAAATATGTGAAAAACTTTAAACATCTTCTTCTCTATAACCAAACTACCCAGGGAGATGATATTTGGCCAGTAGCATGCTTGGGTGAAGGGCTACCAAGTTTGTTCAAATAAATGACCTTCAATTATATTCAAGGTCACAGGGGTCAATTGTCTTAAAAAACCTTTAAACAGCTTCTTCTGAATAACCAAAATGCCCAGGGTGATGATATCTTGCCAGTAGCATGCTGACCTGAAGGGCTACAAAGTTTGTTCAAATGAATGACCTTCACCCATATTCAAGGTCACAGGGGTCAAATATGTTAAAAACTTGAAACAACTTCTTCTCAACAACAAAAATGCCCAGGGTGATGATGTTTTGCCAGTAGCATGCTTGGGTGAAGGGCTACCAAGTTTGTTCAAATGAATGACCTTCACCCATTTTCAAGGTCACAGGGGTCAAATATGTTAAAAACTTTAAACATCTTCTTCT